GAAAAAAAATTCACAGATCACAAACCTTAATGAAACATTAATCAAAATAAAGAGGCAAGAACTATTTACATTAAGTTAATCACATATTTTCATTCTACGATTGAGAGGTTAGATTTTCTCACCTACCTGAAGAATTCGATAGACTCAGTCCACCTGGATTACTGCTTTAAGCTTCATCTAAGATCTTTTTAATGAAAAGGATCTAGCTGTAGATAGTTTTTCCCAAGCTGGAGTTATTATTATGTCTTATTTCTTTGCTCCCAAAACATAGTATATAATACTCCTCACAGTAGAGTAAGCCTAAGTTGGTCGAATTCATCATTAATTTCTACTGTTAGTTTCCTACAGGGGATGTAAATTTTTAAAGGGTTTACTATGTGCCAGGCACTCTGTAAGATTCTTTACATAAAGTTGGAATTCATACCTGCATTGATTGTGTTCTAAAACTTGTGTTCTTTCATAACCTTGTGCTGTCTCATTGATCAGAAAACATACATTGATGAATCTTTTAGAACTATATTTTTTTTTGTTCCTAGAAGGTCTTCAATAGAGAGATTAGTGAAAAATGATGACAGAGAAACATAAAGATAAATTGAAGGAACGTATTTAATTTTCTGTGATAAAATAATAAACCAAGAGTTCTAAATATATAACTCTGCCAGCCCATAGGAGGAAACTCTTTAAGGGATCATGAGAATGTCAGATTACTCAAGACGGAACAAATCAGATAGTAGATAAAAGGCTGATTTTGTGTTGTGTGAAAGCACTGGTAAAGTATTAATACTATACTATGAATAGAAAGGTGAGAAATGGTGGGTCAAAGCTAAGATTGGTAGGAGATTAGATTTTAGGGGCTTGAGAAAGAAATGAGAAAACAAACGTGAGAAGAAGAGGAGTAATCTTTGCCCATGTTCTCAGTCACAGCGATGCTTGTAAAATACAGTACTGGGAACAGCTCACCTCACCCCAGCACATTCTGGAAGCGTGGCAACTGCTGGGTGAACACTGCCAGGTGATTTTGGTACAAGTAATTAATGGACCACACTTTGGGAAATGCTGATTTAGTCCAGTCTCTTTCTTTTAGAAATCGGCGTGATATGCATGAAGGAAAATGGTTATCCACAGTTGCATCAGTCTTTTTTATTAGAGGTTAGGCTAAATCACAGTATCCTCTTTGATACCTGGGTTTAAATTTCCAACTCCAATTATAAACCTACTAACAACATATATTATTGCTATTTCTTTTCTAGAATCACAACTACAGCTGCCTGCATGATGGACCTAAGGCGGTACCCACTGGACGAGCAAAACTGCACCTTGGAAATTGAAAGCTGTAAGTCTTTCTGAAAATTCAGCTAGATTGAACAGTGCTTTAAGGTTCTCCTTAGGCAGAGGAGTCCTACCCAGGTTATGTTCAGACTCGAGGTCCTGCAGAGGCTCTGCTAGAACACTAAATTTGGTACAGGGAGGCACTCTCAGTACCTTCCCTCAATAGTGCCTCTACTCTCTCAGTCTCATCTCTAAACCTTTGGGAGAGATGTTTAGGGAAGAAATAATCTGGCAGTAAAAGGAGAATGCTAAGAACATGGAAGGAGACCAAGGGCTATTTCCGGCGTTTAAAATATGGAATTGCTGCAAACAGCTACAGCAAGCTTGGGGAAATAGCTGGTGGTGGCGGGGTGTCACAAGACACCCTAATTGTCTTTGCCTCTCATCAACTTTCTCTCTTTGTAATTATAAAATAAATGTGGCCTTCCGGATTAGTTAAAACGTTCATAGAGTATGGTTTAATAGAATGATTTTTTGTTCTGTTTTGTTTTGAGGGACTATTTTTAGTGTCTACAGTTTATATTTTTGCTGAAGGCCATGTGATGAGCAAGGTTGGTGTGTATGTGCAAGTGTGTGTGCGTGTGTGTGTGTGTGTGTGTGTGTGTTCTATTTAATGTGCTGACCTGTTTTGCAATGTGGTTGCTTTTCTAGGCCATGGTTTTAGCTTCCACTTTGGTGATTCAGTCTCCTATCTTGCTGGGTGGGCTAAAATGTTGATTTTATAACCCATCTCCATATCAGAGGTCACACAGGGAAGTGGTTTCAGGTGGAAGAGCATTTTGAATTTCTTTTCTCTGTCACTTCTTCGCAATGTTTTCATACTTTATTCCACCAAATAATTGGAAGCTGACAATTTTATATCCAGGATTCTAGATAATGAGTAACTGCACTGCTGTGAGGATACTCTCAGCCTTTGTGAGAAATTTTAGCTGTGGCAAGCAGCGTGACTCAAATCTGAGCAGAAGTATGGCATTTATGACACATTGTGGGTATTTTTGCCCATTTCAAAAGAGTTTCCAGGGATAATTAAATTTACATGTATTTTTAAAGAAACTGATTGCAGGCTTGTAGTCCAAATCATCATTATTTTCAAATTAGATCTTTGCCTTATGGAAGTATTTGATAAAATCGATCCATAGGATTTCAGTGATTAATTTTACATAAATATTTTTGGGATGATGTTGCATGCTGCATTATCTTAACTTACATTACAATTTAGGGAACATAAGTTTGAATTCTTTCATAATTTAAAATTATCGACGTAAGGATATTTTGAAATAGATATGTTGCTGTGGTGTACCATTCATAAATGTTTGTGGTAAGAGCATTTTTTTGGTTCCAGTTTTGGTATATGTGCTGCCAAAGTAAGCAGAAGAGCATTTTTTGAGGTAAAATTTTACTGGGATTTTAAATAATCACAGTCGTAGGTGGATGAAGCACTTTCACTGATGTCATTTCATTTGAGCCTTCCAAAACCCTTTCATATAAGCAAACAATTACTTTTTATTTTAAATAACTGATGTATAAGGACACAGACAACGTTCCAAGTGTTTCATGTTTTTAACTTATAATTTTGACATGAATATTTAAAAATTAACATGATAATTTATTCAATTTTACATATCTCTTTTTAATTCTCCACTGCCCTTTTAAATAAGGTAGATATTAATATTACCATCTTTACCACTAGAGAGACGGACTCAAAGAGGTAAAGTGATTTGTCCATTAGCCCACTTTGCGGCACCGTGGCTCTGTGCTGATGTGGTAATGAAGACACTGATTTTGTAGGGATCAGATTATAAGACCCCAATTCTAAAGCCCTCTGGTTGAAAAAGCAGGAAAATAGCCTGGCCTTAAGGGAAAATGGGACTTGTTCATATTTAGAAAGGTAGCAAATTATTGCTATAGAGAATTAAATATAGTGTTATATTAATAATATACGTGATATCCAGGCTCTGTTATTATAAAAAGATTGTTTACTAACTAAGCATATTGAAATGAGTTTAGGATCCCATTCCTTAAGCTACTAGTTCCCCAATTGATGCCTGACATTCCACCTTATTCATCCATTCGTTCCTTTAAGCAAACCCTAGGCATTCATTCATTCTCATTCTCTCACTCTCTCTTTCTCTCTCTGTGTTTCCCTTTCTCTCTCCCTTTCTCCTTCTT